GTCGGAGAAAGACAAATACCATATGATTTCACTTATATGTGGAATCTAAAAAACTAAATGAACGAGCAAAGTAAACAGAAATGGTCTCAGAGATACAGAGGAACAACTGATGGTTGCTAGTTGGGAAAGGGTGGGGATGAGGGAGAAGGGGAAGGGATTAGACAGCATAAATAGTTAACTACAATATTGCCACAGGGATATGAAAGACTGTTCGAGGAAAATAATTAATAATGTAAATATTTTGTAGGGTGTCAGATGGTCACATGTCTTGCTAGGGAGACTGCATCATGGATGAGGTAGAGGCTTGATCATTGCACTGTACACCTGAAGCTGATGTTGTATAATATTGTATGCCAACTATAAGTGAATATATATAGTCATGGGATGTGGAGTACAGTGTGGGAGTGGAGTCAAGGGAATTGTAATAGATATGTATGATATTGGGGGGAAAGTGGGGCGGCGGATTGGAGGAGGAGGGTTGTCACTTCGAGGGGTAAAAAGTATAACTATTGCACTGTGTTGTACAGCTGAAACTATTCTAAAAATGTATTTCACAATAAAAAATAATAAAAAAACTATTTAAATACAGTAAAAAAAAACAGTCAAAAGAGAAGGAAAACACCTGAAATTGCTATATGACACAAATATTTAAAATTTTTCAAAATTTTCCCTTTGATTTCAATAAAATATGAACACCAAGAATCTAGTTAAATAGAAATAAACAGAACACCCCCATTATCTGGTAGGCACAAATAGATGGAGCTTGATTTTTGAACTCATGGAATAAATGACAGATATTTTCCCAGGAAATTCCCCAATCTACTGTGGAACACCAACAAAACTTGAATTTTGTTAAACCCTTTTAATTCAAATATCTGAGGGTGCTTTGTGACTAATGTTTTATCACAGTTGTCTAGAGTAGTGCTTTCTCAGGCTTTTATGTACCTATAATTTACTTTGGGGGTCTTGTTAAAATTCAATTTATGATTTGTAGACCTGGGGTAGGACCTGAGACTGAATTTTCCTAAGCTCCCAGTTGATGCCAATGATGCAAAGGCTTTCTGATGCCTTTCTCAACCAGTATTCCTTATCTGGACCACAGAACACAGAATATTTTGAGTGACTATTGTCTCAATTCTCCCAAGGATGGTACATAACTGGAATTCTTCTAGATACAAAGGAGAGACATGCAATGGGTGCCTTCAGCGTAGAGCTTAATTATTTTGAGGAACCTTGGTTAAGAAAGGCTGGTTCTAAGAATGCTACTAGAGAAAATAGGTTCAGTCTCTGAACAGATTAGCTTTATAGAGAAAACTCTACATACCACTAACATCTTTATTTCTAATCAGTCTATTGTAGGATGTCAATGATAATGAAATAATTGGATAAAGTGTTTTATTTTATGAAATAGCATTCATTAATTCAACAAATATTTATTATCTGCTACTGCTAAGCACTGTAATATGCAATAAATCTTGAAGGATAAATGAGAGTAATTATTCTATAACTTTCAAGTACATTCTATTGATCATCTTTAAATTTAAACTATGTATCTGTATGTGCTTCAGAAACATTAGAAAAGAATTTCTCATCAGAAAAAAACAGCACAATTAAAAAGGTTTAATAAGATATTTGTGTGGCCTCTCACAATTTTCATGATTCTGGGGAGATCCCAATGATCTCTGTTTTGGAGGCCAGGGAGAGGAAATAACCAAATCCAACGGCTTCACAGAGCCATACCTTGAATGCATGGTTGTTATAGAAGCAGTCATCTACCTTAGTCCCCCATTCTGCTGGATCAAAGTTGGTTTCTAAATAATAAAAATATAATAATTTTAGACTTATTTGCATTCATTAAAATAAATCTAGAATAGTAACACAATCTGTTTTCAAAATCCAGGTTCATAACTGCCAGTTAAAAATCTTATTAATGTTGTTCAAAGCCTAGCACTGCACATATAACCAGTGATCATTAAATACATGATAAATTAAACATTAGATGAGCCATTGGGTATATTTAGAAAGACAGTAAAAACTGTAATTGCTGCCTTCATAAAATTTATAAATGGGAGAAACAGAATAAATGCTAATACTTAAGTATAAATAAGTATGAAAACTTATAAACATGAATTAGTAAACAGGAATATGAATAAAAATAAATGCTAAATTGTAAGGAAATGCAGAAAAGTGAAGGATGGGAGGTTTTTTTTTTTTTAAATGATGCACATTATATAGTCAGTTGACATGGACAGGAAGAAGTATTTACATTGAGACGGAATTTTTCTTTAACTTTTAATTATGAAGAATTTCAAATTTATAAAAATAGAGAATAATTGTCATTTAGAATTGAAGGACAGATAAGCTTCCCAGACAAGAAGAAGCTGAAGGAGTTCACCACCAAAGCAGTATTATAGGAAATCTTAGAGGGACTTCTTTAAGATGGGAGGGGGGTTAAGGATGGGTGAAAGGGGAAGGGATTAAGAAGCACAAATTGGTTGTTATACAGTAGTCATGGGGATGTAGGGTATAGCATAAGGAATATAGTCAATAATATTGTAATAACTAGGTGTGGTGCCAGAATAGGTACTAGATCTATCAGGGTGATAGATGGGAACGGGGTTGGGGGCAGAGTGAAAAGGTGAAGGCATTAAGAGATACAAATTGATAGTTAATACAGTATGGGGAATGTAATCAACAATGTTGTAAAGATCACATAAGGTGCCAGATGGGCACCGGACTTATCAAGGGGATCACGTCATAGACTGTGTAGATGTCTGAGCAATGCGCTATACACCTAAAGCTGAAGTAGAATGACACTGAATGTCAACTACAACTAAATATATAGGTATATATAGTCACGGGATGTGGAGTACAACATAGGGAAGATAGTCAATATAACAGCTATATAAGATGTCAGAGGGGTAGTAGAGCTTGGGGGTGGGTTATCACTTTATGAGGGGATTAAATGTCTAACTATTACATTACTTTGCACATCTGAAACTAATAAAATAAAGAAAATTAAAATAAAAAAATAAAATACAAAAAAATAAGAGAATAATATAACAAATTCCCACGTGCACCTGAACAGATTCAACAATTATAAACTCATGATTATCTTATCTGAAATTTTACTCTTTCCTGCCCTTTCTTCTGATTATTTTCAAGCCAATCCTAGGCATCATGTTATTTTATCTACAAATATTTATTTCAGTACGCATCTCTAAAATATGGAGCCAAAATAACCATTATAACACCTAAAAATACTATCAATAATTCCTTAACATCAACTATCCAAATTACCCCCATTGTCATATGTACGAGTGTGTGTGTGTCTATATATATATATATATATATATATATATATATATGTATATATATATATATATATATTTCTGTTGGTTTATTCAAATCAGGACCCAAACAATGGGCACGAACAGTCTTTTATTGTCTTTTAAATCTCTTAATTGAAAGCTCCCTACCTCCCACTCCACATTTTTTTCTTACAATTTATTTGTTGAGGAAATTGGCCATTTTTTCTTTGGAGTTTTCCATAGTTTAGATATTTTGTATTACATTCCTATGATGATTTTTTAACAATTTCCTTTGCCTTCGAATTTCCTGTAGACTGCTAGTTACATCTACAACTCAATCTGATTCATCTATGATTTTGTTTTTTGGCAAGAATATAGGTAGTGCAGTGTAATTGTCAGGAGATATATAATATTTGGTTGTCTCTCTTTATAATTTTTATGAGCCCATTGATGCTTGCTTAATTTCTTTAGGGGTTACAAAATTGCAATGTTCTAATTTGATCATTTTTTCTTTATCTCTAGAGTACTCAATAAAAAACTTTCCTTCATCAACTATTTGGTTACCCTGAACTACAGTTCTTATAAATAAGGCAGGTTGGTTTTGATTCTTTCCCTTTATTTACTAGTTTTCAGAATAACCATTTGGTTCCTTAGGATCCTCTCTCAAGGAGCTCTTTCTTCTCCTCCTTCCCCTCTCCCCACCCCCTCCCCCTCTCCTTCTTCTAATCACGAACTTATGAATATTTAATAAGTTGGATGAATTTCAATCCATTGCATTTATTATTCTTATTGATGCTCTAATTGTCCAAAATTGGCCAGCAAGTGCTTACTCATGTGCTCAGATGCCCTTGAGTCCTTTAGAAACAACTCAAGTAATCTTTGATACTTTCCTTATTTTCTGGTATGGGAAGATGTCCAGCCTCGTGTTCATATTTCCTGCAGAGTTCAAGGAATTAACTAGTTCTCCAAGAAGGCCTGGTTCCTGGGATATGGTAGTTAGGATCCACAGTCTAGGGGCTAGGGTCTCGGGGGGCACTGGGTTAGTCATGTTTTAAAGCCTTTTAAAAACATGTAAAGAGCTAGAAAATAACTTTCATTTTTTAAACAAAAAATATATCATGAGGTCACACTGATATTTTTCAACTCAAATTTAGGCTTACAGGATTTTATTAATTTTAGTGTATATTTGTTAGTCATATTTCTTACACTAAAAATCTTAGTCCTAATGATGGTAGGAGAGTTACTTATTTGTATGTCCTATAATATATAACAAATAATTTCAGAATAAGTATACTATTAATTAACAATTACTGAAAATAATTTAAGATTTTTTTTTTTACTTCATTTTGTGTTTTTAGGCTATGTCTACCAGGGAAGTAGTCAAATTACTGTTATAAAGTCACTTGAAATAATTACTTTCTGTGTGGGTACTCTACCTAGTCAATACTGTTAGGTTTGTTTTGCTTTGCTTTTAAATTTTAGAAATTGTTTAACGATTTTTAAATTTAATTCTATCTTATAACTATGTTAAACATTTATGATTTTGAATTCAAGGTATATTCAGAGAAATCTAGCTTCTATCTTGTTCCCTTGACTCTATTCCTTCTCTCCCTAGAGGTAAATGTTAATTTTTTAAAAGATTTATTCTTCCATTACAAAATATAAATGAATTTATATATTCATATCAATATCCCTTTCTTAGATATTAGTAGCATACTAAACACATTTGTTTCCACCTCACTTTTTTCGCTTAATATATTGGATTGTCGGAAAAGTCATGACATATTTTTCTATGTTTTTCGTTGCAAAAATATGTCTTCACTTTTCTGACAACCCAATATCTTGAAAATCACTTCAACCCCATTGTTTTTTTTTTTAAAGCTTTATATCATTCCATTGTGTGGATGTATTCTACAGTTTATTCAATAAATCCCCTACTATGGATATTTGTGTTGCTTCCTCAAATAAAAATGCAATGAAAAGTGAAGAAGTGGAAGTTCTAGGTCAAAGGTTAAATATGTATATAATTTTGGTAGATACTGCCATTTTCCTCTCTTTGGGATTGTATCATTTGGTATCTCCTCCAGCAGTGCCTATGAGTGCCTATTTCCCCCTCGCCCTGCCTAGAATAAATTGGCAACTTTCGACTTTTTCCCAATCTGATAAGTGGGGGTGGGGGTGGGTGATGGTACCTTGGTGTAGTTTTAACATGGGCTTCTATTATTATGGGTTAGTTTGAGTATGTTTTAATATGCTAAGGGTCATTTGAATTTTTGTGTGGTGAATTGTTCATATCACTTGCCCATATTTTATATAGGGTTGTTTTTTTCTTCTTAAAGATTTTATTGGGGAACTGGGGGAGGGGAACAGTGCTGGGGAATTGGGGAAAGGGAACAGACAAGTTGCTGTCCTTTTTTTCTTCAGTCTAGCTGTGGAGGACATCGCTTCACTGGCCCATGTTGGTATTATGATCATTGCATTCTCCAGCTAAGGCAGATCGGTCACTGGCCACTGGACAGCCGCTTATGGCAGCTCACGCTGGCTGTGAGCCACTCACGGTAGCTTATGGCAGCCCACTGCAGCCCCACTGCAGCTTATGCTGTTGCCAGTGACTCACGGCAGCCCAACTCCAGGTCAAGCTATTGTTCACCATCTTAGCTGTAGAGGGCGCAGTGTCACTGGCCCATGTGGGATCTGAACTGGGGCCCTGCTGCTCAGAGCTGGCATCCCAAGCCAACTCTTAACCAATGCGCCACTTGGCCGGCCCTTTTCTTCACTGTTTTTTACAAGCTCTTTATTAGGTTTATTAACCCACTGGGATATAAAGTACAAATACTTTTCTCAGTTTATCATTTGTAGTTGTATTATCCTTATGGCAATTTTTGTCATGTAATATTGTCAATTTTATCCATCTTTTCCCTAATTGCTCTTAGATTTTTGAAGTAACTATAGCAACTTAGCTAGCAAAATGTTTTCCTCTTTTATGTTATAGAGAAATTTATCCATGTTTTCTTCTAGCATTTGTATAGTTTCATTTTAAAAACTATTTAAATCTCCAATCCATTTGGAACTTATCCTGATGTACAATATAAGGAATAGATCCAATTTTATCTTTTTCCATCTTTATCACAACATCATTGAATAAAAAGCCCACCTTTTCCAGTGATTTGAGATACCACTTACTTCATATACTAACATATTTCCTGTCACACACACAAAAAAAATTAAGGCTATTAATTACCTATTAGGAACACTGGTAAGGAAATTCTTGCATTGTGTAAGAGACTGGCCTAGAGGACTTTCCTCTTCCCTTTTGGAAAGACTAAATTCTAATACTTGTATCAGTTGGATAATTCACCTTTGGTTTACATGAGTGGAAATGGGTGTGGTCCTTAAAATTTTTTCAAATAGTTTTCCCCATTTTTTATTAGTTAGAGAGCTAGTATTCTGAGACCATTACTCTGAATCACCAATTGCTTTAATTATGATCTGGTCACAATGATCATGTTTTTGTAATGGGATGTTTCTGAGGTCTAAAACTAAATAAATGACTAAAGTCATTTTACTCATAAATTTGTAAAATTAAAGTTAGAGTAACAAAATTAATGTTCATGACAATTCGCCTCTTGCCCTAAGGATTTCTCTTAATAGTATTTAGTAGCACTTGAGTTTCAGATAGTGCAACAAATATTTGCAGTGACTGGATACTGGAAAAGACCAGCAACATTCAGGAAATTGGCAGAGATTTTGAGCTCTGCCAGGGTACAGCAAAGAAGATACCAGGATGGAGCTGTGCAGTGTGACCAGAGTTGTTTCAGTTCAAGCCTTGTGGTAGGTTTCCTCCTGCTGTAAAATGGTCTAAAGTGGAATGTTTACTTGCTTGTGGTTCTTTCTAGTCGCCTTTACCACACTGTTGGAATACTGTAATCAAAAGTAATGATTAAAGCTTATACAAAATGGTTGTTCCAGTTAAGAATAGGTTATTAATAAAAATTTATGGCTGTGATAATTCCCATTTTGACCACGGGGTCCAGTCTTGATAGTAATGAACCTTCAAGGCTGGGGATTTGGAAGTTTTATTTATGGAAGTGAAGAAATTCTGCTTTGGCTCTCTACCAAAGAGTCACTGTTAGCCTGAATCTTAATTTCTGGGCAGGATGGGACCTTGAGAGTATAGAGAAAGACTGTAAATTACCTTCCCAACCTGGAAGTTCACTTTTCCAAGCAGTTCTCTGTGCCTTTATTGTAAAAGTTTCATATCCCCCAGCAAATACCAATGTATTTAATCTAAGAAGTGTAGAATTGTTTTTTACAATACTTTTAATACTTGCAAGTAAGAAGAGTCAAAATGTAAAGAACACCACTAACTCTCCTCCCAGTAAGTATACACAGTCACCTACCTGGGGTGCATAGGAACAGCCTGCTGGAAAATGGGAGAGTGAGATTGGATGATCTCTTGAGGTCCCCTTCTACCCAGTATGTCCATGAGAAATAAAACCAAGAAGGTCTCAGTAATAAGTGGATAATCTTCAAAAATGTGAAGTAATGTGATTTAAGAGAACCCGTTAAAAGGCACATGTTTCAAACAGCAAGAACTGTTATTTGAAGCTACTTGCCTTGTAAAGGCTTTCTGTGGAATAGGGATGATCTTAAGCAAGTTTCACCATAACCAAATGCTCAGTCTCTTATTTCTTTAAAATGCCTATTTTTTAAAAAAAGCTTACTCTCTCTTCTCTCTAGAAGATTCTCAAAATATGCTGCTGCAAAAGCTGGTATATTGTCCGGTTGCTCCCTCAGAATCTCACGTGTCAGCCCTTCAAGAAGATTCCCAAATCCTTGTGGAATTCGGTAGTGCGTGTTGGAGAATGGAATCGACATCTCCTTGGAAGAAAATGCCTATTGTACCTAGAGATTCATTAAAGAGTACTGTCTTTAAATTTGTCTCATTTTACTTATATAATCACAACTATGGCAACAAATTATTTCTGAGTCCCAAATTTCCTGGGGTTCAATATTTTTTCAACAACACAATTCAAGTCCACTCATTTCTTCTAAAGAGTTTTGAATTCTCCATTATTAATTAGAACATTACAAATACAAGACCCATATCATAGGCCAAATCATTTTTTTAATAACAAAAATCAGTTTCTCCACTAGAACACCAAGTACTTTTTCTTTCTGTACCTATCCTTTCTGTATTTAAAAGGTTAGTGTAATTTTGCTATCCCGCGGGAATTTGAGAATGATTATTAAAAAAAATTCCTAATAAATTACTTAGAAGACCCTGTTTAGGGTCTAAAGTTTAAAAAATTAAGTAGGAACCAGTCCTGGTTCTAGAAATTACTCTAATTTGTGATTGAAGAGGTTTCACACTTAGTCTTTCCCTTTGCTTCCACTTCTGAAGCATGTTCTACAATGCCTCGAAACATCAGTATACTCTGCAAGGGGCAGCGGAGGCAGTAGAGCAGGGGCAGTCATGATTTTGCAAACACAGCCTCCAAAGTTTTGTGATTCTTACATGTTCTGGTTTTGTCTAGACCAAGTATTGTCTTTCTGTCTTGGAATACAAGGGCTAGATTAAGGATAGCTGCCAAGCAGCGGTTGGGCTACGGAGTGTGCAAACACACAGGGTTCTGGCCTGTTTGAGAGTTAACGCCGAAAAAAGGCCGGAAGCAGTGGTAGGTAGGGGTCTCGGTGGGAAACTAGATGGTTTCATAAGGGCCAATCTATGGAGGGACCCCCTTTTCTTCGAGGGAACAGGAGATGAGGTATTGAATCCTTCTAGGGTTGTGAAAAAAAATGGTTAGACCCTGAACCCATCTGAGGAGCGGAGGGCGTCGAAGAGGGCAGGACGTCGAGGATCTGGGACTTCAGATCAGGCTGCCTGGGTCCCCAATCTGCCCCAGGGTTCCCAGAATGTGTCGGGGATCCGGAGAGAATACGACGGGCGATGGGAAAAGATGAGGTCTCGGTTTCGGAGAGGAAGTGGGGTAAACCGCCTCACCTTAGTTCTCCCGGTTCTCCCAGAGATGGTGCCGATGGTTCCCGTTGGTTTTTTTTCGTTGCTGGGGAACCGTTTGTTGGTGTTTTTTTTTTTTTTTTACTTAACTACGGCGGCCGAGAAGGGGAGAGGTGAGGCCTGGAGGGCGGCCGCAAACCGCTGCACTGAGCGAACGGCCTGGAAAGGTGGGGTCAGGTCTGCTCCGCCCCACGGCCCCGTCCCGCGCAGCCCCCGCCCCGCTCAGGCCCCGCCCCGCGGCTGCGACCCGCGTAGGTCCCGCCCCGCTCAGGCCCCGCCCCACGGCTCCGACCCGCGTAGGTCCCGTCCCGCGTAGGCCCTGTCCCACGGCCAGGCCTGTTAAGGCCTCGCACTGGCCGGGACCTCGAGTCCCGAGTCCTGCGCGGGAACATCGGTCCTAGCTGACATGGTGGCGCTGGAATTTGTATTGTGGCTGGTGCTGCCATTAATCCTGCGGCCCTACACGAGTGCAGGTGAGGCGGCCCAGCTCGGTCTGACCCCACCGGTCAGCCTGCGCGGGTTCCGACATCCCGCGTGCTCGGAGGACCCCCACCAACGCCCCCTATCAAGATCCGGGAAGGGGCCTCCGACACAGGTGTGGGCTGCAGATTCTGCTGGGCTGGTACCCCAGCCCTTCGCTTCCTCCCCTCCTGTCCACCGCTGTTAGAATGCAGAGCGTTGGGCAGAGAGAGTTGGTTGATCTGAGTTGGAGAGGTCCTCAGGGTCTTTGAATAGCTGCTGGGGAGAGGGGCGAAGCCAGTTAAATAATATTTGAAAACAGGTGGCTGAGTCATCCAAAACATTTCAATGCTGCCTACTCAGTGGTATCCTGGGGGAGGGTTTGCTTCAGGCTAGAAATTAAATTTTACGTTTGAATGGTGATTAGGGCTAAGAAGTACAACCCCCTCACTAGCTCAGAATATTTAAGACTCAGCTTTGGTTTTTGGTGCAGTTTACAGATATTGATGGTAGGATAATATTTGGTGGCATTGGGGAGGAGGGTGACTCACTTTGTTGTCCAGGTGAGATCTTGTCATTTGGCTATGCCAGGCTGGACAGTAGGTCACAACCATGGAGAAACCAGAAGATGGAATCTTGTCTGCTAATGCAAAGTTAAAAGTGATAATGCTGGATCTGGTTTTTTTTTCTTCAAACACTCAAATGGTGGACCACAAAGATCCCTGTTAAGAAATGAAAATTGAGGTGGGAGAACAGTTGGAGTGCAGAAAAATGACTGCTGCTTTACCTAAAGAATCCAAAAAGTACCCAGATTTAGACAAACTGCAGCCCATATGTGGTTTTTCAGGGTTTAACAAAAGTGTAAGCTAATGTTTTTCTGACTCATCCCCACACAGTGACCTTTGCGTCTAGCATATGAGGTGGTTGAGTCTAGCATATGAGGTGGGGAGAAGATAAAAAGGAGAGTAGGGCCATTATTTTATTAGTTTTTCTGTGAAAGGCTGTTAACTTTGATATCAGTATTTTACCTTTGCCTTTGGGTCATATTGTTACATCACCAGTAACACTGATTATATTTTTCATTGATGAATGCTTTAAATTTTCCTTCTTTCTTATTTGGTTGCATATCCTGGCATCTTTCTTTCAAATCATTACCCCTGTGCCCATGTTTATCATGTAATATTTGAGATGTACAAAAACATATGTAACAGTAAATAAAATGAACAACCATGGGTGCTCTGCCCAACTTAAGAACTAGAACATTACCAATTTTACTGAAATTCCTTGGGTTTTCCTCCCTGATGCATCTGCAGGTTCTTCACCAGATGTAACCACTGTCCTAATTTTGTCAGTCTACTTTTTTTATTTTTTAAGATTTTTTTTTAATTGGCGAATTGGGGGGGATGGGAACAGTGCTGGGGAATTGGGGGAAGGGGAACAGACAAGTTGCTGTCGTTTTGTTCTTCAGTCTAGTTGTGGAGGACGTTGCTTC